ACTTTAATAAATGTATTAATTCATTTCAAATTGCAAAATAAATACACATTTAAATTGTGTTTTAATTAATGTTTAATATTTTATTTCACAGTTATTTAAGAAAGCATATAAGACATGCATAAGTGCCTATAAATCAGATCGCAGTTCAGATTTCAGTGGATGATTCATGGGTATTTGAATTACTCTAAAGAAAGAGATCTGACCGTAATAGTAATAATTAAATGGTATTGTTTTTTTCAGTCGTATAGGTATTTTCCCTCAAATATTAGTGTCATTGAATGGCTGGGAGCATATTACATTGACACCCAGTTCTGTGAAAAAGCTATTCAGTACTTTGAGAGAGCAACCCTCATTCAGTAAGTTACTAAATCATATTTATCATGAATATTCTGCATGTATCTGGAGATAGTTATTTTCATAACTTTTCATGAATTTCAGACCGACACAGGTGAAGTGGCAGCTGATGGTGGCTAGCTGTTACAGGAGAAGTGGTATGAACTTGACAATAATACATTTAACCATGAGCTGTCATCTCAGTGCCTTCAAATATAGTTTTCATTTGTTTTCAGGGAATTATCAGAAGGCACTTGAGACCTACAAGGACATTCATCGGAAATTTCCTGAAAATGTTGAATGTAATGTGCTCTGCAGTTGTTTTATTTTGATTTTTATGTGCCCATCTAGTGGCTCTGCATCTCATGTCATTATCTATTGCCCAGGTCTACGCTTCCTAGTCAGGCTGTGCACAGATATGGGACTAAAAGAGGTGCAGGATTATGCCACCAAACTCAAGAAAGTTGAAAAATTGAAGGAGATCAGAGAGCAGGTACCCTGATTTCTCTCATACTGTTTAAATGGATGAAAATAGTTGAGTGGAAATTAGGAGTGAACAAAAAAACACAACGGTCTCGAGGGATACTCGGGAACGACTGTCTTTAAATCAAGTGTGGAGAGTTTCAAAGTTTAGAGTTTAGAACATGAGAGAGAGATTATCTGTGTTTCTTCTTCACCTGTTACTTTAGCTAGGAAATCTATGGTCAATTATTGAGGAACATGTTTGTTGGACTGCATGTAAAATATTTGAAGCTATACCTTAAAGAAAAGAGCTGGAGAATATTTGACAGCGTGCTGTTATTGACACACACAGAGGGTGAGATCTGGGAGGGACAGCAGTGCTCGAGGCCGCAGGGAAGGCAGCGCTGGCAGTGGTGAGTGGACAGTTTGAACTCAACCTCATCGATCAACCTTTAAAACGAAATACTAGTCATTAACAGAATACATGCTTCTACTTTACTTTTTCCATCAACCTCAACCTGTAATCTGCCTCTGTTGGTAAACAGGAAATACTTCAAACCTTACACGCACTCTCCCTAAGAAACCCAGTGGTATGACTGTAATTCCCCTAATATAGCGTCCAGGTGGACAAGCTTAGTGGAGACTGCTAGCCCTGTGATGTGATTTTTCAAAAAGAGAAAGCATGTGTCTTAGACACCCGTTCCCTAAATCAAATGATGTAGACATTTTAATCCAACAACTTGACTTTAGACTTTTGGTTTGTGATTTGTTTTGAATTTATAGTGTAGTAATATTTTATTTGATAAATTTGATTTCTCTTCTGGGACATC